GGGGGGGGGGGGGGGGGGGGGTGTACTCATAGTCGTGCATGCCGCAGTCGTTAGACCATTGACCTCGCATGAAGGGAGGGATAATTTAACTACTTTTTCCGATGTGCAACGCCATGGCAAGCGAGGTGACCTCTTGGAGCGTCGACGGCTTTTGCTCCTTTCCCTGCACAACAGATCGTGATGAGTGGCACAGTTTCAAAGGAGGGAGTACTCTCGAGTAGTTGGGGCGAAAAGGAATGTGTTCTTGCAGAGCTTTCAATGCCATTTCGTCGTCGGGTACAACAATAATTTTCTACCTGTTGAAATATACCCGGTGTACAACACTGCCGAAGAAAGATTCCGAAGAGGTGCCTGAAGTCGATTTGAAGCAATGACGTTTCCATCTGCCTGAGCACATACAGCCTCTCCTCTTCCGTTCCTCATGCACGCAGCGTTCACAGACATCAGTTCCCTCCTTTCGAACGATGTTTTTTCTGCGTTTCACCAACTACACCAGAACCTCCGAGCCGTGTGCTCTGAGCGAGCTTTCGCCGCGAGAAGCCGCGCCAACGCGGAAGCCAGGCTAATAGCGCGCGTCTCCTGCGGCCTCCGCTTGTGCTCGCTCGATCGGGCCTGCGGCGAGGAGGTTGCAGACGCCGTTGGTACTGCGGCCCTCAAGCAGGCGTTGGCGGCTGGACTCCGCCTCCCGTCCCGCTTCCCTGCTAGCGCGACATCACCTGCTGACCGCCACAGCTCCGCCGTCTACCTCCAGGCAGCAAAGGTAAGGGTGGGGGGGAAGCAGCGAGGTTGGGAAGGGCGTTCCTTGGTTATCGACCCAGCCTGCTCAACGGCGACTATTTTTTTCTCGTCCGTTTCATCCGTACGTGAATAGTGCACCGCAGTTTCCTCCGCTCACAAAATGAGCAGGTTCTAAAGGTTCTACAGCGCTACTCACCATTGCTCTCCCCTTGCTTGCGTCGTCAGGTGTTACGCTATCTCATGATCGCAGGAGCGCAGGAAACTGCAAGCGGGAAAGAGACAGGAATAGGGCGGGGCGTGACGCTCGTACTGCAAAGTTTGAAACAGGCCGCATATCACCCGGCACATGACCCCATCGCACGGCATTTCCTCCGACCGATGTTAACTCCAGCGTTCCAGGTGACAGCTTTTACCACCGAAAATATGGCACTTTTGGAAATACTGTAGATAATCATCTTTTAACTTTCGACAAATCGTTTCCTAGTAGACCTAGGTCTGCATGACCCATAGATACGCTACATCCAACCTCTTTGAGTGTTGAATATATATCGCTTCCGTGCTAACCGGTCCCGAAACGGGTTCTCCACTAGCCACCCTCCTGACACTTGTGTTCCGAGCAGGAGGCACTGACGGGCGGGGCTCGGCAGGACAATCACACCGCCGAGCGCACAATCCAGTGGGATGGGTTGCGGGCAGCGCTCGACGCTGCAGTCGCCCATCCCCAGCAGCGGGCCACAACAGAAGAGGCATTTACCATTCTTGTCAGGTTTGGGCAAGCACCGGTTCATGGAACGGCGCTTGAGGGATTTGCGAAGATCGCCGAAGAGCTTGGGTCGGGGAATCCCCCCGCTCTCGGCGGCCACAATACGACCCCCACCGTTCGGGCCGGGAGTGCCAATGGAGCGACGGCGGCTCTCTCAACAACGTCCCTCGGCGCCAACGCGGGGGTGATCATTGCGAAGGGGACAGGCCAGGCCTACGAGCACTGCCCATCAGGCCTTAGCGACGCGCTGGAAGGAGCGGCAGCACCCGAGTCCGGCGGATGTGGCGAAGCTTCGTCGGTGCTGCTAGGGGCCGGTGAAATCGCCGATCTTGCCGCAGAGCTGGACCCGATGAGACGAATAGATCGCGCTTTCGCCACATTAGCTGAAACGTTCGATGGAAGCGATGCCTCATCCGTAGCTGGTGCTGCCGCTGCGAGGGGACGGCGGCGGCAACGCCATTACCGCTCTCCGTTGCATAGCTACGCCGTCGCCAGGCGATGCCGCAACTGGATGGACAAGCTCGAGGAGGTGGGGGATCTCCTCACGACGACTCAGCTAAGGCTCGGACGACGGGGTCAAGATCTCCTTCTCGCCGTAACCGAGGACACGACGGCGCCAGTTCCTCCCGACAGCCGTCCGCCTACCGCAATGTCGGAACACGAACTGATTGCCCAAGCGAAGGCCGTGATGGCATCAGCGGCGCGACGTCAGCTCGACGAGGCCAACAGCGGCAGCAACGCACGCGTCGTCGACGGAAAGGGCCACGACGGCGCGGCTTTTCTCACTGCTCAGATCCACCGCCACACACCGTTGCCGGACCGTTCGAAGGAAGGCGTCCGAGCGTTCGAGGGACGGGGATTCTACGGCGGCCGCGGGGCTGCATCCCGAACAGGGGATGCGGGGGAACCTGTTGCTGTGTTGGAAGTCTCACCCGCATTCGGAAGGCGAGAGCCGACCACAACCGACGGTGGTCATGGAAGACGAACCATCGGCGAAAACTTGGCCTTTGCGGCGTCCGTTCTGTCGGTGCGGGTTCTCCGCCAGCAACCCGGGTTGATTGGCGTCCACCCCGGGGCAGTCGTGGTCGAGGACACTACACGCAGCAGGGGAGTTGATGCTGTCGGAGAGAGACGGAGAGAGGAGAGTGTAGACCCTGCTGACGGATATTCTCCCGTGCCCGTGCGGATCGTTTGCGAGCGCCTGGAAGGATGGAGGTCGCTTCGTGATGTGATCCTTGAGCACGGTCCGCTGGCGATGCCGTCCGAGATAGCAGCGGGCGAGGGGGGCGAAGGGCTTCGCGTCCTGCGCTTTTGGGGCAGACAGCTGGCGTCCACTCTAGAGTGCCTATCATCCGCCTCGCTCCTGGTTCGAGACCTGCGTAATTCGACTGTTTTCGTCTCCCCGGACGGGTCGACCGTCAAGATCGTAGACTTTTCTAGCTTAGCGACATTTTCTTCAGACACCGGTCTCGTGTCCTCGGAGGCCCCCAAGCTCGACTGCGACATCCACGGTCCAACGATGCCCTTGACCCCACCAGAAGCTCTCGCGATAAGGGGGAGCACGGAAAACGGAGGCGTCTCTGACGGCAGCGGTGGGTCGATCGAGGACAGCCCACGCGATGGTGTTTCGCTTGTTCTCGCCGACACCGGGAGACCGGGACCGTTTCCCATCACAGCCGCCTGGGACGTGTGGACGCTCGGGATCCTACTCTTTGAGCTAGCTTTCGGCCATCCGCCGCCGGCGTACGGCGAGTCTCTTCGTCGAGGGCTCTCCTCCTTGACGCTTGACAACGCCACCAGTGGCGGCACGAAGGTCACCCCGGTTCCGAAGCTCGACGATCTGGTGACCGAGATCCAGTACGATTTTCTTTCGGCGGTCGGCGGACTCACCAACAAAGGAGAGGAGAACGGGGTGGGGTTGGCGACAGCGCACGTCGGCGATTCTCCTCTCGAGAAGGCGCTGGGATGTATGTCCCTAGGGGTTGCCATAGGAGAGGGGGATCCATTCCATGTGGCTTCGTCTGCAGGCGTGGGAGAAGGTACGTCTGGCATCTGGGACGATGGTCGGATATCGGTCCACCGGTTTCGGCGAGCTTGGGTCCGGCGGCAGCTGCAGATGGAGGAGGGCGGGGATCTCGAAGTGACGACATGGCAGACGTTTCAGGAGAAACTCCGAGATCACCTGGATGTCTCCGTTGCCTCGGCGGTGGCAGCAACTACCCCGTGGTCGCCGATAAGCGGGGGAGACGAAGGCGGCGGTAGAAAAAAGGTCGACGCCGTCCATCATGACCACGGTGTGCCCTTTTCCAGCGAACGAATGGCACGGCAGGCAGCCGAAGCCGCCGTCGATAGAACGGCGGCGCAACTGGTAGGAGCGGACCCCAGGCAGACCGGTCGACTTCCGTTCTCGGTGGTGCGGGGCGTCGTGCGTGATGAGCTCCAACTGTCTTTGTCGACCGGTGAAGCCGAGCTCGTCGCGTTTTGCCTTCGAGACGCAGGAGGGCCGGAAGGCAGTTGCGGCGATGCTGAAGGCCGCGACGCTGACAGTCCTGTCGGCCAGCCTTACCGCGAAGGCGAATGGAATGTTTTGTACATCCCTTTGGTGCACGTTCTTCGGGCGGCGAGCCTTTCCTCTGCCGCCCCCGCCCCCAGTCTATCAAGGTCGTTACGCGCAGGAGACGGCACGTTGCCTCCCCCAACCCCGGCGTCTTTCGTAGAGCTCCTCTTTGCCTGCCTGGAGCCGAACCCGAATCGCCGCTCCTCCTCGGCTAGTCTTCTAGACCTTCCTTTTCTTTCTCCCCGCGGGCAGCGAACGAGTGGCGAAGATGACCGCAAGGCTGCTGCGGAGTACGTGGGCGGGTCTGGAAATGAGTTGTCGCCAACGATGGCGTTGCGCGAGCGTGTGGAGTCCCGAATCCAAGCGCTGGAGGCAGCGTCTCCTCAGTCCAAGAACAACCAGGAGGCTGTGTCTACGCTAAACCATCACTCTGCGACCAGGGCGAGGCCTGTCCGCGGCAGGGGAGGCGATGGTGCCTCGACAAATGTCGGCGTAGGCGTGCTAGTCGAGGCATTGAAAGATCTGGAGGGTCTGGTGCATCGATCATCGCCGCCTGTTCACAGTCTGGGCGAGGATGACTACCCGCAGCAGGCCCGCAGGGTGACCCTCGGCCACTCGAAACTGATCGGCGAGATCTTCGAGACTGGTGTTCTAGTGAGAGCGGCGGCGCTCGCCCTTAGGTTCTTGGATCGAGAAGAGGTGCGTGCTTCTTCTCGGAGAAGGCTTCTACTAGCAGAAGAGGTCTGGTGATGACAGGTATCCTTTCTATGAAATCTCTTGTTGTGTAGAGCTTTGACTGCACCTGTTTTTCCTCCTCTCTGGCCTTTACCACGTAGATTCACAAACCGTCACCACACGGCGAGATCCAAGCTTGTCACAAAGACGATTGGTTTTAGAAGCCGGTGCGATACAAGAGGGCCAACAAAGTTGCGCATTTCATGGAGGTTGACATTTGGCTCTAGGTTAAGGTGTGCCCCAACTTGGTGGCGCACACCCCGAGTCCATCGCCACCCTTACCTATTTTCTTGCTCTGTTTCCCCCCGGTGTCTACAAACCACACTCTCCGACAACGGTCCTAAGTTGCTATCTCGTGTGCCTGCTGTACGAAATTGTCCTCTTGCCTATGGGACCCAACCGCATTAAGCAGGCCGAGGCAGTCGGCCGCGGGGTTTCGGGCGTCGGTTTCGTGGAAGGCGACCCTAGAAAAACGGTCGGGGCCCGCGTCCTCCTCGCTCTGGCCAGGGTGCTCGAGGGGCTGCTATTGGACCTGAGGAGACCAGGCAGTGCGGTTCGGCCGTACGCCGACATCATCTTGCGGTGTCTGGTCACCCTGTTTCTCGGGGAGGAGGGGTTTCTTGCCGTCAGGGTACGTGCTTTGGTTCTTTGTCGTTGTTTGCCACCTAGGCAATCTCCCACCCACGCGGGTGCTCTTTGTTTTCGAGTATCTCCTACCAATACCGTATGGGTATTTCGTTTCTCATCAAAGACGGGTTGTGCGGTCATCAAGAGGACGTCACCGAGACTACACCTAGGAGTTTCTGCAAAGTTGCGCGTTTCTTCCGCAATGCTGTAGCGAGTACAGGCACGAAAACCGGCGGTATATTTTTTAGGTTCATGCACTTCTTCGTTCGACTCTCTCGGGAACATTACAAACGCGCTCCCTCCCCGGTCGTCCGCGTCCGCTTGCGTCGTGCAGTATGGCAATATCAGCGACACTACGGTCGGGAAGCCTGATGCTGCAGCCGAAAGTGCGCAGCACAAACATTCAAGCACGGGCTGCTGCGAAGGTGGGAAGTCGCACTGGCAGCCTGCGATATCGCAGATGTTCGAAGGCCTGCTGGTCGAAGCGGTGGGAGAGACGGGAGAGGGAGGTTATCCATACCCCACCATCCAGAGGTATATTCTCAGGTGTGCGTTGGCGATACATCAACCTGGAGCGGGTGCAATGCACGGTGATAGTGATGATCTGGAAGGACTCGGGGACGTTAGTGACGGCTGGGCAAGCTCCTCCTCCGATGACGAAGATGACGGCCGCGATGATGACAACGGCAATTTTGGTGACACTCGCGGGGCCAGCACCGGGGGGAGCAGTGGTCTCATCCGGTCACATGTACCACCCATGTTCGTGCGCGCATCCACGTACTTCGCCGAGCTACTAGTGTTAGGGAGGGTCCTGTATGCACTTCATCGAGGCAGCCGAATAACCACCGGCGGATTCGCCAGCGCCACAGGCCGGGCTCGCCGACAGGCGACCGCGTACTGCCTGACGGTAGTGCGGATGTGCTGCGACGTCGGCAGCGGGGGCCTCGACAAAGCCGAGCCTCTCGGCTGGATGGGTGGCGGGCGGGAGCTGGACGAGGACGGGGCCACCCTGCAGCGGACGCAGCTCTTGGTGGACGCGCGCCTCGGGGAGAAGCTGGCGCCGTGTCTCCACGACCCCGACCCCGACGTCCGAAGAGACGCCGTGAGCTGCGCGCTGTCGGCCCTCCAAGGAGGGCACAAGCGCCTCCAGTGGATTTCCATGTCGGTTCGGCGGTTGGACCCGCGGGCTCTCCTGTCTCTGGGGTTCTGCACGACGGTGTGGGTTTCGGCGTTTGCGGCGATTATCCGCGGCCGCGGCGCTCCCGCCTTGGGGTCCGCCAACCCCACCCGCTCCGCCCGCGAGTCGGAAGAGTATTTGCGGAGAATGGCCCTCCAGTGTCTCGGGTACATGGCCGAAGGTGGAGACCTTGCCACGTACAGCTGGCGCGGATGTCGGGTGCTGTCTGCCCTGCAAGGGCTACTCAGCCGTGGCAGACCTCCGGGAGTGGGCGAGTCGATGCCATGGGGTCGAAGTAGCGGCGGCGACCGCCGTGAGGGGGGGAGAAGGCCTGACTCCAACGGGTGGAATGAGGAGGTCGTGAGAGTGCTTCAGTCTCTCGCCCAAAACGGGTCAGGGGAGACCCACTCCATGATTCGCGCGCAGCCCGGGCTCACTGGGGCGTTAGGGGATACGCAGTTGATTCTTAGTTCGGAATGGTTGCTTACTCCGAAGGGATTAGCATCCACAGCCACCGAGTTCTTAAAAGGCGCCGGTACTCAAAACGAGATATTGGCCCTGGTGCACCGCGTCAGATCGATGTTGGCGACGGCGGTTCGGATTGGCGACCTAAGGGTTCTTGGGTCAACCGACCGTCTAGGAACTATGAACATCCCTGAGGCTACCAGTGTCACGATGTCGTTGGTGTGGGGCTGGATGCAGAGGACTCTACTGCAGCTTTCGCGGGATGAGTCGGACCACCCGTCGACCGCGGCCAGGGCGTCCCTCGCGTGGGAGTGTCTCGGGCTGATGCACTTCCTTCTGGGCACGGCGGTGGCTTGCAAGCTTGCTCGCTGCAAGATTCATCCTGACCTTGCTGGCGAGGTTTCTCGAGCATCCGGTGGCGGAGACAGCGGTACATCCTCGTCGTCAGATGACAAAGGCAACGGCCGTGACACAACCACCGCCGATGCAACTTCCGATTTGGCGAGGGCGCAAACGGGGTTGGAAACCCTGGTGCTTCTTCTGTCAATGGAAGCCCCGACGTCGCTCGATCTTTACCGGGCCCACCCCATCCCAACCCTCGCAGTAGGGGCGACAGACACGCTGGCAGAAGCCCTGGCCCACGGGGACCGGGAAACAGTTGACGCCATGGAGAACCACGGCTTGGGAGTGCGGCTTGGTCTGGCGGTAGAAGCGTCGACGCGGCTTACACGAGAAAGCCGCCGGCTAGGGGTGGAAGAAGTTCACCTGTTACGAACATACCCCGCCGGAAGGCTGGCGAGAGTGAAGCTATTTGATCGAATCTTGTGCCACCAAGGGGGCCGCGGCGGCGGCGGCGGCCGCGAGTTGCAAGCCCAACTTATAATTTCCGGCCTTGTGGAGTTTATCACGTCAAATATGCTGCCCGATTGCGCCGTAACGGACATCGTTAGCACACGGCTTCCGGCCGCTTTCGTGCGGCACAACGGGACCCCGCTCGTGAGAAACGAGGGCATAGCGTTTCTGGAGCGGGTGGTTGCGAGGCGCGCTGGTTGCCCCGCCGTCGCCCGCGAAGCCGCGAGGCAGGCCGTGAGGCATGGCCTTCCGCCCGCAGAGTGCACCCGTCTCCGAGAAAATCGCCACCGGTCTGTACGAGCCGGGGTGAGTGCGTGTCTCAGATGTCTGGCTCGGTTGGAGAGTCCTTCCGTCGACAGGGCGTTAAAGCTCGCAGGCGTCCCGCGGCGGGCTGTGCTTCGTGCCAGGAGAGACCATGGAGCTGCCGAGACGAGGCGGCAGTGGGCTCGTTGGGTTCGCCGTAAGGCTACCACCCTTGGCGAGGTTCCACCGACACCGAACACTCACGTGGCGCCCATCGAGGATAGGAACTTCGGCAGCGGAGAACCGCAAGCACTGGCACGGCACGATGTCCATAGTACGACAGTTACGCCGCAACCGAACCATATACAGGCAGCGCTAGGCGATCCAAAAACCCCGGAGGGGCGAGTCGGGATCGATGCACCGCACCGCAGGGAGAACAGACCCCTTTCTTTAGTTGCAGAAGAGGCAGATGGTGCTGCCGGTAAATCACCAATACCGAACAAGACATCAACAGCACCCGAGAAGGAAAAGACCGCTGTGCTGACAATAGAGGGGGAACTCTCGACGTTGTCCGTCCCCGGTGTGCGTGAGCTTCTCGCAGCGGAACTCGCCACCGCCGAAGAGAGCATTCGTGTCATCGAAGTCGGCGGTGGCAGCGACGGAAGTAGTACCGATGGCGGCGATACCTCTCGGCAAGCTCCTCCTGCTGCAAGAATAGCTCCATCTTCGACCTCGGGTGGTAGGTCAACCCTTAAACTCGTGCTACCAGGTGTGATCGCTGCCCAGTTGTACACGCGTTGTCTCGCTGGAGTTCTCCGTGTCCCGGGGCTTCTGTTCGTGGAGGTGAGAAGTGGCCCTTGGCATGGATTCTCTCTCATGTGCTTGTCTGTGCTCTCCAGTGGTATTGTCTTGCGGACCCTTCGGGCCCATTTTTCGAGTATACCTTGTAAGGGTTAGTTGGACTGTGACCACGGGAATCGATCGCGTCATGTGTTAATTAATAGATGGGAACGGACAGATGGAGAATTGTACTAGGTCGAGAGGTGGGAAGTGTTTGATATATGTGAAGACAATAACAACTGGTGCAACTACCACAAGCTGGCGCCGGAACCAGTTACAACAAGATGTCTCTGAAACAGCCACACAGGAAACCAGCTCCAAACGATCTTGTCCCTCTTCGCTACGGCCCAAATTACATATTGGTCTGTGATTTGAGTTGGCTCGTGACACCGGATTTCGCTCATAGCATGTGAGAATGAAGTAGGAAAGCGGACGCACAAGCCAGAGGGTAGAACGACATTCAATAGTCCAATACACAACAGCGGTGGAACCAGCAGCAACAATCGCGCGTTGTCTTGTTTTCGCGAACCAACGGCCTTAAGGTCGAAGGCAAAGGAAAACTCGCTTGGAATGGGGAAGAAATCGTCCCAGATGAAGTCGCTCCTCGCCGTCTCCAGTCACCACTGGCACCAGCGCCAGCGACGCCCCCGCAGTCGAGGCAGCCTCCACCACCTGCTTGTGCGTCACCCTCGAGAGGAGATTCAAGAACACCCTCCTCACGACGACCCCCGATCATCGCCGGGTTAGATCGACCGTCCTCTGTTGGCGAATCTCGAACCCCACCAGTACCCGACGATTTCAAGAACGGGAGGCATGGGGTGCAGAAGACGTCGTCAGCACAAGGTGGCGACGGTATGCTAGGCATTCAGAAATTCTCCTGGTTAGGTGGCCAGGCATCCGGCACCACCAAGAGAAACAGCGACGACGAGGAAGACAACGACAACCGCGTGGCCCACCATCTGGGTGCTAGGGTCAACCTGAACGCAGCTGGTGAGGAGTCCGCTCCACCTCGAGGACCTGAAGTACTAGCGTCACGATCAGCACCACTCCTGTCCCCTCAGGAGCAGCGCGCGCGTGTGGCAGTCGCGCTAGATCGCATGGGAGCATCCGTAGTGGAGGTGAGAGACGCGTTCCAACGTTGGGTCCCGCGTGGACGGGCGGCCGCACGGTCGAGTGCGTCGAGGGCACAGCGGGCGAATAGCAAGAAGACCGTCTCGTTCTCCGACTCCGGAACTGCCGCAGAAGCCGGGCCCGACGATGATCGCACGGCGGCTATTTCTAAGGAGGGGATGGTGCACGCTATGGCAGAACTTCGGCTTCCTCTCGAAACGGCGGAACAAGCCTGCGACGAGGCGGGCAGGGACGGGGCGACCATAGGAAAGGCTGCTTATACATTCTCCGATTTCGTCTGCCGTTACGCGGATGCCTCTGGGCTCATGAAGGAAACAATATCTTCCGGCAAGAAAAGTCAAGGAGAGATCTGGGCGGAAGGACGCGGTGGGATGTGGACCGCGATCCCACTGGACGAATGCAGGGGCGCCAGAATTATTTTCGATGACCAAGCCGAGGAGCACAATCAAGAAGACAAGTCAAACGACGGAGGTAAGACCACCATCGGGCCTTGTGGTTGACGTCGATGCAGTTGATAGGCGAGGGCCTACTCCTCCACAAGCAGGCCGAACGCCTCTTCATGTAGAGTAATATGTTTGAAGACGGCACAGCTTGCCGACAATCTTCGGAAACGATATCTTCTCGTGCTCAACCTCCACGCCGACAGCTACAATATCTATTGTGTCCCACTCGCGCTGTTGGCTGTTTTACAAAAGGCTTAAGCCTGGAACAAGGTCTCGACAAAGAGGGCGCCATCGCGACTCTGGAGCGTCTTCGGGTGGGAAATCCCGACGGGGTTGCGCTGAAGAGCTACTTCGACGACCGCGGCGGTGTGATTGATGAGCTCTTCGGCGGTCGGGTTTCATTCCAGGTGCGGTGGGAAACCCGAAGGGTCGAAGACACTAACACTCCACAACCACTGATTTCCCGTTTCGCGTTGTAGTCGAAGTGGTTTCATATCGGGTGCGATCTGTCAAAAGTTGAACAGAGACGACATTTCCAATAAAAAAGAACATTCGAGGTTACTGCAAGCACGAGGAACCGTGGCGCTTCGTGCACATCACGTACAAAGATGGGATGGACCAAGCATTCAGCATCCACAATACCCTTGAACGGTGTGAGCTGGCCCTGAGTTTCCCAGACGAACCACCGTACACCCCCAGTTTTCCCTTCCCTCCCCGCTTGCGCCAACCTCAACCAGGAGCTCGTACGGGCCATTCTGATTCTCGACCCCACAGCATTGACGCTCCACAGCCCTGGTCACACCTCCACACTCGACGATGCCAGCGGTGTCGGTCTTCCATCGCAAGCCCGAACAAGCGTATCTAGTCCGGGGGGGTACTTCGACGGCATGCCCGGGCGCGTGCTCGGCGACGGCGGTGGCGGCGACGCAAACCGGAACGACCACCAGGGGCATCGTACTCGGGCTTCTTCAATCGAGGAGGAAGCGCGATCGCCCCCCCCACCTTACCCGGGATCTCAAAGCGAGGACGGCACTAGGCGCAAGGCCGCTCCTGCGGTCAACGATCGGGACGAAGAACGGGCAGGGGTCGCAGCGGCGGCCGTACGCCTACGCTTGGAGCGCGACGAAAGGGAGGAGCGTCGTGCGTGGGCACAGAGGACGATTGTTGGACGGACGTTAAGATCGAGTCGTCCCGCGGCACCGCCGAGTTCTTTGGGTGGTGCTCGTCCACAGCACGCGGGGGGGGAACCAAACCGTGTGTCTTCCAGCAACAGGAGCGTAGGGGACGGCCTGCTAGGTCACGGGAGATCTACACGCCGAAGGCGTGAGCACGAAACAACAAAGGATACGGCCCCTGCTGACGTCACGGCTGCCAGCGAGACAGACGAAACCGCTGGTGACATCGTATCTCGAGCCTTTGAGCGGTACGCAAGCGACCGAGACAAGGACCAAGAGCGAGGCTTTGGTGGCGGTAGGGCAGGACAGCGGCCTTGGCAACACTCCGAGGCGTCCACCTCTTTTGCCCTGCCTGGCAATGGCGAGCGACAGCAGCGGTCGCCGTGGACGTTGGGAATTGATGGCGAGTCCGGTGCAGAGTCAGACGGAAGCTCCGCGGAGTACGATGACTACGCAAGCCCTTCCACTCTAGTCTACAAGCGACGACAACCTCGAACGGACCGAGAGGCGCAGCAAACAGGGATACCGCCATCGGACATATATCGCGGCGCCCCCTTGGGGAATGGGACAGGACAGCTGGTGATGGGGGTGGATAGCGGCGACGAGGGCGGGGGGCTCAGCCGGCGGAATTCGTTTGTATGGAGGCGATCAATGGAAAGCGAGGGTGCGGGGGAACACGGGGAGGGGCTGGGTGGCGGCGACGGTGGCGAGAGGTACGGCAGTGGCAGCGGCGACGAACGGGGATACGGGGACGGCGATACTGCTGTCGGCAGTCCAGAGAGAGAAAGAGCTCTTCGGGGGGCTTTCGACATGTACGATCTCAACGGCGACGGCTTCATCACGTATCTGGAGGTCTGTGACGGCACACGAATATGAGTGGCGTGCACCATGCACACAGGCCTTGGTCCGCCGATGTCACGAACGCAAACGATTGCCGCAGTCGAGCAGAGAGGTGCTACAATAGCTCCTCACGCAACCGTATAAGCGCAGCTCACCTATCGTCACAATAAGTGTCGTTGGCCATTCAAGAAAATGTGACCCCTCGCAATTCCCAACTTAGCTACCCCAACACTCAATTACTCGTAAAACGTCGTTCCTTATGTGTTTTCCATTTGCACGCATCGCAGCTGAAAGCCGTGTTCCAGCAGCGCGGAGTGACAGCGTCGGACGAAGACCTACGCGAGTGGATCAAACAACGGGACACCTCGGGAACCGGCGCCGTCGATTTCGTGGACTTTTCAAAGGCCTTCGTGTTCTCGTCGTAGCCTTTGACTTCATCGACCGATCAGTGTCGCCAAACTTTCAGCGCGGGGGCTCACTGAATACGCCTTCGTTGAACGTCGTCGATCTTGTGCATGGCTGCATAGGTACATAGCCTGTACAGTTGAAACTATACGTATAAGCACCGACCTAGAGGGGATACAAAATGAACACTAGAGACCGAGGGTGGGGCGTGGAAGTTGTGTTTCGATGGCGGGAACTACAACATAATAGTGTTGGTGACGAACTTTTTACGAAAGACATGCGGAGTAAGTCGTGGTGGAAATGTCGGCTCCTGATCGCCGCCGTGTATTTCGTGTCGTGTTTGGTGTGTTGTGTTGGTCTCAACGTTCGTTGTGCTTTCCAGTCCGAACCTCTGTAGGTTTTTGCCCTATTCTAGACTTACCATATTCCCGGGAGCGCGAAAACTCATTGCGCCAAATGGCTGGTGGGAATGTAGCCTTCACCACAGAGTTGAAACTCATCTGCGAAGCATGTTGACATGCAGGCCACAAGAAGCTTTTCACGGCCGGTGTGTGTAGATGGGGGATAACCACAACAAGGGCTGAAACACGATTGTTGGAGCAATGACGACGGCTTTCGGAAAAATATCATCTGGCTTGGGTCTACAATTCTTCGATACCTCCCACGGACGAAGCGAGTTGGGGTCCATGTAGGGGTGTGGCGGTATGCTGTGAGTGGTGAGGTCATGAATGGGACGTGGATCCGAAACCCTGAACAAGTCATCCAAAAATCAGTCCGCCGGCGATCGATGTGGTTGCCTGAGGCGCCACTACCGTGAACGCGTATTTCGTGAGCGTTTTTGATGTGGCCGCTTTTGACACTTTCCTCGCTCCCAAGATTCACGTTTTATGATCATCGGGCGCAATCCCTACCGTTTTATGCCTGCGGTTCTTCACCACAGCCGTCGTCCGAACTTCGGGCCCTCAAATCTAAAGCGAGTAAATGTGCAGACTCATGCAACAGCATATCCGCGTGACCTCAATCGACCGTGCGGAAGTATCACGTCGGTTCCCTCGCGGAAAGCAGGGTCACCTATGTATCAACTGGCCGTGCGTATGGCGCATGACCTTCGTCATGATCGTCGAAAGCGAACGCGCCCACCCGCAGTTAACACACACACCGTGCTGCGTGGAGACGTGTTGTGGGGGAGCCCATACCGCTGCGCCATGCAGCTTACGGTGACACCTCATCTCAGCGCACACGAATGCTGCAGCCGAGACAACGCCTCCACCTCCATGCACTCTCCACACGCTTGACAACGTCCCCTTTTCAGGAGGATAAAGCGGAGGCAACCTCAACAAATGAAGCAGATCAACTAACTTTTTCGTCTCGCATTCACCACAGTCTCCCTTTGTCAAATCGATGGATACTGCTAAGTACATGGGCATTTACCGAACCAACAAAGGACGGTTCAAGAGGTAACGCCACAACACCTTGGGATACCCTGGGACAACCCAATCATTCTAGGAGTATGAAAGAAAAGAGTGCCCGGTACGACCTGTCATCAGCAACAGCAGGCGAGGAGATTTTACAACCGGTACGCTTCGGGGAAGCAACTGTAGCACATTTCGGGCTCAAGATGAGAACCGACGGCAGCAAAATCTCCTTATCCTTCGCCGCACGGCGTTGTCACGCCCGCAAAGGGCGCGCGCCAACCCTTCCCTATGCAAGTGTTTCGCATTGTAAGGAAGGGTTGTCGCTCACTACACTACAACTCCGCTACACTCGATTCCTACCAACAGAAGCTACGACAGCTCCTACGGAGAACGCAACAAGCCAGAAGCCGAAAACAGGGCCCATCCAGGCAAAAAAACAATTACAACATTGGACACATGTTGTCGCGTGTTGCGTCGGAACGTCATGTTTCCCTGCGCGGCATCAACTCGATTCAGCGTTTCAACCGCTGCCAACACCGCTACCGGCCACCATGAGAATCTCTCGGCTTCTCCTAGAGGCATACCACACCCGACGAACCTTTTCCATCTGGTTTTGTCAAGGACGCTTAGGAATACCTGTAGACGGCCATGAACTCCATACCAGGCACACGGCGTGCACAAACAATGTCCACAATTCATCCCTCTCCAAGTGGTTAAGTCCACCCTAAGGTGAAACCTGCCCTGGTTCAGAAGCCAGCAACCCCTAAAGTCTATTGTCTGTAGTTGTACAACCACGAAAATGTGATTAGGCCAACTCCTGAGGAGAACACGCCTTTTGCTCGGGCTTCCACAAGTAACTCTTGGAAAAAAAACAACAGTTACATTGTAGCAGGCGTGAGAGCTAGAACGAGCGGTGTATGGACTTGTGACCCAGGTCAACCGCGCCCATGCCGTGACCTTCCTTTGCGATGGGTGCGTCTGTAACGTCCGGGAATCTACAGTCAACACAACCGTTGTATTTCAAGTCCAAGGAAGCTTGGCGGTCGATGACAAAACGACAAGCGAGATACGAGACGGCCCACGTGCGATTCTGGTCCGTTCCGCTATATAACCGGAGTGACCGCCTTCGTTGACTTGCTGCCCAAGCTGCACACGCTGCGCTTGGCCCTTCCACATAACCAGCAGCATACCATGACGCACGTGTTTGTCAAAGCTGACAACACAAGAAAGAAAAACTATAAATACGAGAGTGAAAGCATCCTTACCGCCCGTCGAACAAAACTTGCTTTGATAGGCCAGATATGTCGAGGAGACGTGTGGAAGCAAAGGTAAGGCAGGCAAACAAACAACCCACGCCCTTAATACAGCTGCCTGGCTCTTCGTCCCACACACGAACTTGTACACGCTACGGACCCGCGGCATATAATTACATATACGGAATCAAAGGAGAGAGGAGACGAAATTGGGGGTCCGGCCGCGGCGGGGAGATGCGCCAAGGCCTATCAAGGCGTGAAATACTCCCGACCTAACGCCTCCAAAACCAAAGAGGGGAACATGCTAGCCTTCGCGTCCGTCCATTACAAGGGCCGGGTTGTTTTACCCCTCAGCGTCTTTCGTAAGCGCTCTAACCTCGCACCCATCTCCGTGTCAGCAGTCGTGAAGCCCCACACCTTCACGTTCACGCACACACACAAACAGAGAGGGCACGGATCGAAGTGCACCCGACAGCAGGGGAATGTTGATGAGGGTCTCGATGCTGCGCGACTGTAGCTTGCGGAACCAAACGTTTCGAGGGGGGGGGGGGGGGGNCTCTCACATCACCAAGCGCGAAGCGCCGTGAGATATTCGGCGAGTCGCATGAAGGGTGCGCTTTATCCTGCTAAGGGTGTTCGGCATCTTGTGCTTCCTTGCGTACGGATGACAGCTGCGTATGATTTAATTTACAACGACAAAACTTTGCAGAAACAAGCACCCCCTCTCTTGGTGCCAACCTTACTCCTTTTCCAACACAAGGCTGGGCGTTAAACGATGACGCCAAGGAAAAAAGGCAAGCACATGCCCTAAACATAAAAAAGTCAAGTCATTACAACAGCACAAGCCACCACACGAAACGGTTAACGCACCTCTACTTGCGAAACCTGGAACTGTTCTTGAGAGCAGAGTGGCGGGTTCCCGTATGTGTCGCATCTGCTAGGGTAAGGACAACGACAGGGTGCGGTATAGAAATACGAGGGAACATCAGCCGGGTGATTCGAGCTTTCTGTTTTAAAAGTTATTGAATTCATGCACCCACAAGAACTAGATGTACACGACTTCGTGCCATCCGGCGGCACCAATATCGAAGTTCGTGAGTACGCGACCTATGTCGTGTACCTGGTACGGTATGGTGTACCTGGTATGGAATGGTTTTTATCCGTAATCACCACCCGCGAACAGGATGCACACATGAAACGACACGTTTTCGGAGTGCGCTCGACAAGACGGTTCCCACTCTGCCACCTCCACTTTGTTGCGTCCGGTGGAGTAATCGAGCTTTGAAAACTTTCTCAAGGGTGTGTAGTATCCTCTGTCACCTACAGGTACGCTCGGAAGCGCCCACACAACTTACTTTCCCGTGCTGCTTGCCGGATGGTTGTAGCAAATCTTCCGAGACATTTTTGAAAAATCGGCGAAGGGTGCGCGGTACCTCTGTAACCAAAGGTGTACACTCGGAAGCGCACATACACACTTTCCCCTTGCCTGTCGGCTAGGAAATCTCCTCGAGACTTTTGAAAAGTCAGTCACGGGCGTGTGATATTCTCCGACACCTAAGGGGTGCGCTCGGAAGCGCGCACAGACTTACTTTCCCGTGCCGCCGGTAAGGAAATCTTCCCCGATGAAGAGACCAAAACTGCCGTCCGCGCCCCCCCCGCCCATCGCGATCCCCTTACTGTCGCTGTACTGGAGGTACATGTTCATCCCGGTCCAGCCGAAAGCAGTCATGTCTCCTTCCATCAGAGTTTTCGATTCCGAAACGGTTTCGCTGCTGCCGGTTCGGCCGTCGGCGAAACGGTCATCGGAATCGTTTTCGGTTTGTTCCTCTTCGCTCTCGACGGTTACACGTTCTCCTTCGATCTTGAACAGGAAGCACTCCCCCGTGCCGTAGTACTTGACAATACAGAAGAAAGAAAAACAGTCCAGGCAATGGCGAACCGTGCGTGTCGAGAATCAGCGAGATCCACGGTGGCTATTTGCAGAAAATGTTCATGTAAACACACAAACAGTGCGCGTTCGAAATAGAACCACAGTCGAAGTGGATGTGTTGAAGTCTCTGAACAGTAGTGGGGGGGGGGGTAGGGAGG